TAATAGCGCTGCATATATAATTTGTAGCTTGCACATCCATTTCATCCCACTGAGTAGCGTCACCTTTTCCCGTTTTTATTCTAATAACTACTTCCTTACATTTCTTCAATTGAATAAATTTCAATAATCGAATTTTCGAATTGGCACAATCCGTTCCGTCAAAAATTGGTATTACGATATTATTACTCATTTTACTTACTTGTTTTTCACTTGTTCAAACGCTCTGCTACCATGTTTGAAAGAAGAAGAAGAAGAAGACGATAGATATCAGTTATAATAATATATATTCACCATAACAGAAATTAAACAACCGCATATTTTAGACGAAGGAGAAAAAAATGAAAAAAGAATGCATATCATTCTTAGAGGATGGAAAAAAAAAGGAAATATCATTGTTTTTTTTTCCATTCTCTAAGATCATCGTACAGCTATTGACATATATAAACAAACTAAGCGGCCAGTATAAATCTATAGGCTCTAGACTAATCTATAATAAGTAACAGACGTTGTAATATAATTGTAAGTCAATGCGTTGTAAAGAAAATTTTTTGACTGCCCACAATTTTCTTTACAACGTCTGTTACTTATTTCTTTAACTCAAGATATTCTCGAATATAAAACAATTCCCAGTACTGTACAGGTGTTGGTAAACCTTTTTGCTGAATACCTTCTATGTATGTCTGTGATTATTTCGAATTTTGTTTTCTTTTAAAGTGTTCCTTGTCACGACGACTTAAGAATCAATACATTGTTTTTCTTCATCACGGCAACTTGAGTTGTTTTTATTTTTGTCGAGATTTCCGGGGATAAAAGACTTCTGTCTTTACATTGTTTATGGGCAATGTTCTAATGGGTAATGTAGTAGTTTAAGTGTTTTTTTATTAGGATTTTAGTTTTGTGTGATATTATAAATTTTAATTTTTTTTTCAGAAAATATAATTTTAGGAAAATGACGCAAAACATTTCTTCTTCGAATAACATTGTTATTAGCAGCAAGGTTCAAGCATGGCTATAAAAAAACTGGAAGGTGTTTGTAATTATGGTACGTGGAAATTTCAAATTAAATTATTATTGACAGACCATGGACTAAGAAATTTAGCAATTGGTTCCGAAGAAGCGACTGCTGATTCTTCAAAATATCAGAAAGCATACGCAAAAATTTGCTTGAATATACAACCCATTTGCTATCTACATGCAAGAAATGCGAAGACAGCTGCAGATGCGTGGAGAAACCTAAAGTCAGCCTATGAAAATTCTGGCATAAGTCGGAGACTTCTCTTAAAAAGAAAATTTATGCAAATTAAATACGGAAACTACAATTCTATGGATCACTATTTAGGAAATATTATTTCCATTACTGAAGAACTAGCTGACATTGGCTGCAACGTCGATGACGAAGAATTAGTCGAATTGATGCTAATTGGGTTACCTGCTGAATTCGATTCTTTAATAATGGCCATGGAAGCCACTAAATCGAAACTGGATTCAGATTTTGTTAAGTGCCAGCTAATTCAAAGTGAATTCAAGAGAAATTCCTCAAATTCAAATTTGGACCACAATGAGAAAATTTTGTTGACAGAAAACAAATTTGTTCCAATGTGTCACAACTGTCATCAGAAAGTTCACATTAAACCGAAGTGTCTCAAGCTAAAAAAGAAGAAGAACTCAAAGAAACGTGAAGCTTCCCCTTCAAATACAGGAAGTACAAATTCATGTAGATTACCTACTGAGACTTAAAAGTTAGTAACTGTGACCAACATAGTTGGATTATAGATTGAGGTTGTTATAGTCATATGACTAATAGGAAAGACTGGATATTTAATTATTCTCCTAAACCTCCTAAAGAAATTACTACTGCCAACAATGATAAAATGTTAAGTGTGGGTGACGTCAT